TTATTTTTTAAAAATAATAAATCCGTCGGAATTCCGTCGGTTTGCTTAGCCGTCGGAAATCCGTCGGAAAAAGTTCCGTCGGTTACCACCGTCGTCGAAAATCCGTCGGAAGTTCTGGCCGTCGGAACTCCGTTGGTAAATGATGCCGTCGGAATTCCGTCGGTGATTGGAATCCGACGGATTTTCGACCGAATTCCGACGGATTTCGGTTATCCCTTTTCCGTCGGAATACCGTCAGTATTTCCGACGGATTTCCGACGAATTTTTTATTTCTGACGAGATAGAACCGACGGACCAAAACCGTCGGAAAGCCGTCGGAATAGGGGTTATTCCGACGGATTTCCGACGGTTTTGGCCGTCGTAATACTGCCTGTTTTCTTGTAGTGAGAGTAGCTCTGAAATGAAGTCAACAAGTGGGATAACACGTCCAAAATGGAAAGACTAGCTCTGAAATAAAGTCAACAAGTGGGATAATTCGTCCAAAATGGAAAGACTCTGAAATGAAGTCTACTCTCTTTTTTTTTTGTTGAAATTTCTCATTGATTTTTCTTAATCCAGCCAATAAAGAAGGAACAATCCAACCTAAAAGAAAACATTAGACTTGAAATGTTTTGGTTTTAGAATCTCAACCACTATAAATAAACTAGGAGAAGAGAAAGTCAGAAAACCAATACTAATCCAGCAAAATTGGATCATTCTTTCTGGAGAAGATGGGACTAATCTTTCACAAGATTTCCAGAGATAAGCTGAGGCCAGGAGATCACATCTACTCATGGCGTGCTGCCTACATCTATGCCCATCACGGTTCCATATCTCTCGCAATTTATATTTTGCATATATTCATTCACTTTTAATGCTCGATCATAGTTATTTCAGAGTGTTTGAATCTGTGTTTTGTTCATTTCAATAGATTGTATTAGAGTCTTTGCGTATCGGTATAGTATAAATTACCGGTTTAATCCTTTCTCTCGGTTGAAGGTTTTTGGTTTGCTGATATACAAAATCTAAAGAATTGAAATGAAACAAAAAGCAGATTCTATACACCAATAGTTTCTTCATTCAATTGTATCATGTTTTGATTTTCTATTATTTTTGAGAAACTTGTCGATCAAGGAACCCTACTCTGGGTGTGCTTTTTCTGTTTTGGATTGCATAAAAATAATAATAAAATCTTTGATGATCCTCAGGGATATACATAGGCGATGGGAAAGTCATACATTTTACTCGTCGACATGGTACGGGAACTTTCTTGGACAAGATCTTCCTAAGTTCAAATCCTCCCAAACAGTGTCTTAGTTGCGGAGACCAGTCCAATCTCAGTGGTGTACTCTGTTCTTGCCTTGACTGCTTCCTCGACGGAGGAGACCTCTACCTCTTCGATTACGGTGTCAAAAAAGTTGTCTTGATGGCCAAGATCAGAAGCGGCACGTGCACAACAGCACCTACGGATGCTTCTGAACAAGTCATTGCGCGTGCCAATTATCTCTTATTGCATAATTGTTTTGGTAATTACCACACTTTCGAGAACAATTGTGAAGATTTTGCAATATACTGTAAAACTAGTTTGTTGGTCGGTGAAAACTATCTGTTGGGAAGGACCGGTCAGGCTAGTTCGGTCAGTGCAACTTCGATCGCTACAAACATGATTAGTGGTTTTGATGTGTGGGGTATCAGAAGTGTTATCCGTCTCTATAAGGACATTGGTGTGAGAAAGGATGCTGCTAAGGTGCCTGTCGAGATCCTGCGTCGGGCAAATGCAAGAGAAGGCTAACCTGTTTGCGCAATCTGGTTCGAATATCCTCTCCCTTTTTCTCTTTTTCTTCGTCTTCACCTTGTTTGTCCAAAATGAGCCATCAATAGCTTAGCCGAGCTGTGTGTTTTATAGCGCCGCAGTTAATTTCTGCACACGTAAGCAACTCAACCCACACGTTCATAGTGGTTTGTAATGATTGTACTCACGATTGATGTGATTCTCTGTTGTTTTAAAAAAAAGTGTGCGTAGTTTCCCAATATTGTTTTTTTTCTAATTAATGTGATGACTGTTTTGCATTTACCAACATTCATTACATGAAATCACCTTAACGTTTTGTAGAGCCACAACATGCTTCTCGACTCTAGGACTCATGTTCTCAAGAACATCTGAAAGTTGTGCAGCCAATTTCTGCAAATTATTTTGCATAACAAACTTATAAGTAAACGCAATGGTCTTTAAAATTGTAAATATGAGAGGGAGAGAACAACCATAACTAATGTGGAGAAATAAATTTCTAATCGAATAACAGACAAAAGAATCACAAAAGGTCTCAAGCTTTGTTTACCTTCATATAACCAAGATTTTAAAAAGTCAAGTCTCAGTTCTCATAAGGAGAAGACAAATAATACCTCATCTTCGCGTTCCATAGAGTCTTTGGGCCGGAAGTGTAGAAATGAAAACTCGCCACATAAAAGAATTTTTGGCACAAGTTATCGATATGGTGTGAGTTTGTTAAGTGTTCGAAATGTTAATAGAAAATATGTTCATAGCATGTAGTCCACTAACAGCTTGAGGAAAAGTATGCAACAAAAATCAGAAGCTCTAAGAGAATAAAGTTGCTCTGGTAAATCGACTTAATTAGCCAAGCTTCATCACTCATGGCCAGTCACCTAGTTGTTGTTATGATATAACGGATATTGATCACAAGTACATGTTTAAGAAACTAATTTTTGTTTTAGAATCAAACAAGTGTTTCTCTCTTGCCTCAGCACTCATAGCCAGTCACCTAGTTGTTGTTATGCATGATGAATGGTTATGAAGTTCGTGCGGGGAGATAAGTTGTACTCCAAGATGGGAAAAGACTCTGAAATGAAATGAAGTCTACTCCTATTTTACTACAACTGTTCATTGACTTTTGCTTCATTCCGACGTAAATAAAGAAAACAACATGCATAGTTGACTATAAATCTTGGTTTTAGAAACACAACCATAACAAACTAGGAAGAGAGCAAAGACAAAAAAACCAATAGTAATCCAGAAAAATTGGATATTTCTTTCTCGAGAAGATGGGACTACTCTCCAACATGCAAGATCTCCAGAGATGATCTGAAGGCAGGAGATCACATATATACATGGCGTACTGCCTACGTCTACGCCCATCACGGTTCCATCTCTCTCTCTCAATTTATAGTTTGCATATCCTCACTCATTCACCTTTAATGTTACATACATCTTAGTTATTTCAGAGTTTATTCCTTGGTTTTTCTGTTTTGGATTGCATAGATAAAAATATTAATAAAATCTTTGATGAACCTCAGGAATATACATAGGCGATGGGAAAGTCATACATTTCACTCATGGACCTGGTATGGAGGCAGGAACGGGAACCGTCTTGGACAAGTTCCTCGTTTCTTTAATTCCAGATCCTCCCAACCAGTGTTTGACTTGCGGAGACCAATCCCATCTCGATGGTCTAATCTGTTCTTGCCTTGACTGCTTTCTTTCTGGAGGAAACCTCTTACTCTACGAGTACAATGTCTCTAAGGCTATCCTCATAGCCAACTTTCGAGCCGGTACGTGCACAAAAACACCTTCAGATTCACCTGATGAAGTAATATCGCGTGCCAAATTCCTCTTATCGAAAAACGGGTTTGGTCTCTACGATCTCTTGGAGAACAATTGTGAAGATTTTGCAGTATATTGTAAAACTAGTTTGGTGGTCGGCAAAAGCTATATCTTGGGCAGAAGTGGTCAAGCCGGTTCCGTGAGTGTACTTTCATTCGTTGCAAACATGTTTAGTCTTTGGGCCGGCACTGCTATTCGTGTCTTGAGGGACATTGGTATGAGATATGATACTATTAAGCTGCCTGTCGAGACCCTCGTAGCTCGGAGAAACAAATGCGACTGACAAGAGAAGGATGATCTGGTTGTTGCACAATGTGCTTTAAATATCCTTCTTTTTTGTTGAATTGTGTCCAACTCTATCTATGATCTTGTTTTTTTTTTTTTTCCAAATGTACTCAATATCTTTTACATTTCAAAAATCTTCTTTCAACGTTCCGCAAATTACTATTCAGGGCCATCTCAAAGCAGAGCTCCAAAGCTCATGCAAAAGAGAAAAAAAATGCATGTTATCAAAGTTTGACGCTTTTCTTTTTCTTATTTCATGCGATTACAATGAGCTTAAAGCATGATTAAAGGTGATACTGTAAAAATATCTTAAACATTAATTTAGTATTAAATTTAGTAATGTTGCTGAAGAACCGTTTCAACAATCTCTTTATATTGATACGGTTCACAAGAAAAATTATTTAATAATTAACTTTTTAATTATTTTTGTTTAGTTATATTCTTATAGTATCAGGGTTAAAAATGCTCTTATATTGTGACCACATGAGATAATTTTTCTATTTTTATTCACTTCCTTTTTAAAGATTTTATCTAAAATATATTTTATGATAAAAAATAACTAAATATAACAATAAATTAACCGTGAATGACTTTAAAATGTTACCATATGTCAACAGTGCTAAAAAAATCTAGCGTTGGAAAATTCCACGTGAACAGTTAGCTATGTGAGAGTGTTCTCTGTCTCTCAATCGAGAGACGGAGAGAGAGAGGAACATTGTTTTGATTCGATTCAGAAACATTGAATGGGTTTAATCGTGGATGATGATAACGACGACGAACTTCTGATTCAGGATTATTGAGTATTTAACAAAAATCAAAACAAAAATCAGTTTTAAGATTGAGGTCTTTTGGAATAAAAATGTGAAGTTTGGAGCTTCTGAGGTTACAATCCGTTTTTTGTAATTCGTCCCGGAAAAGCGATGGAACGTCCGTGAGTCACGTTCACGAACCATATCAAATATAAGAGCATCATTATTGATGAGATTTGGTGGGTATCATTAGATATAAAATTATTAAAATTTGARTAAAAWGAAGAAAGAGAGTGTTTTTGGTTGAAATAWTRGRGTRTATTGAAATATAAAATTAATAAAATTTGAGTAAAAAGAGGAGATGAGTTGATACTTTTGGAGAGAGAGTGTCTTTGTATCAATGAGTTGATACTTTTGGAGAGAGTTTAAACTTTAGTTGGGGTGTGTTTAAATATCAAATTAATAAAAGTTGAATAAAATGATGAAAGAGAATATATAAAATTGAATAAAAAGAGGAGAGAATGTGTGTTTTAATAATTTTATACGTTACTCGAGAAGTAAAACATGTTTTTTATATACTCCACTCATAAAAGAAACTCCACTGTCCACTCATAAAAGAAACTCCACTCATAAAAAAAAGCAAAATCAGATCTCTTTCCCTTCTCTCTCTCGCTAGAAGAAGAAGAAGATGGGATTACTCTCGAACAAGATCTGCAGAGATGATCTGAAACCAGGAGATCACATCTATACATGGCGTACCGCTTATACCTACTCACATCACGGTTCCATCTCTTTCTCCCTCTCTGTATATGTATTGATACAGTCATTTTCATTCGCTCGATGCTCGATCTTAGATAAAATTGGGTTTTTTTTGTACTCGGAGAATGAATGAATAAGTAACGCGATTTCTCTGTTTTGAATTTCTAGGAATCTATGTAGGTGATGGGGAAGTCATCCATTTTACCCGTCGAGGTGATCTAGAGACCAAAACCGGAGCTTTCTTGGACAAGATCGAGGAAGCCATACATTTCACTCGTCCAAGTGTTCCACAGACCCGAACGGGAAGTTTCTTGAACAAGATCGGGGAGCTCATACATTTCACTCGTGGAGGTGTTCTAGAGACCCGAGTGGGAACTTTCTTGGACAAGATCACTAGTATTTCAATTCCCAGTCATGGAGGAGGCAACTATCCGTGTCTTATTTGTGGAGATCAATCCAATCTCGATGGTGTGATCTCTTCTTGTCTTGATTGTTTCCTCTCCGGAGGAAACCTTCATCTTTACGAATACGGTGTATCTAAGGCTATCCATATGGCAAACCCACGAGGCGGTACCTGCACAATAGCACTCTCAGATCCTTCTGATGAAGTCATTTCACGTGCTACATTCCTCTTCCTGCGAAAGGGGTTTGGCGCTTACGATCTTATACAGAACAATTGTGAAAGTTTTGCAATCTACTGCAAAACTGGTTTGGTTGTCCCACCAGACGCCAAGTTTGGAAGTAGCGGTCAAGCCAATACGGTGTCTGTAGCAGGCGGGGTGTTAAAGAGATGCACAACAGCTTCTCTGGTTCCTCTAACACTTGGTACTGTAGTTTTCGCTGGTTTGGTTTTGCAAGGTTATGGTACGTACTGTTTTGTTCGCATGAATTCCGATGTTGGTGTGAGAAAAGATGTTTGCAAGATCCCTGTCGAAGAGCTCGCTACTTTTTATTCTGATAACAACAACAAGAAGTCTACTTAGGTAGTACTTGTTGCCCATTATGGAAGGTTGATGACTAATAAGTAAGAGAGATCATGCTTCTGCATTCTGCTTTGTTTTGTATCGTTGAAACTGTGTTTTAGCTATTTGTCATCAAGTAGAAAAATACAGTTAAATTGTTTCCAAGAACTTTTATTGTATCTGTGTTTTATTCGGCTATCTCTAATTAGGGCATCTCCATTGGGGTATATTAGGGTGTTTTTAAAGTATAAAATTATTAAAATTTGAGTAAAAGGAAGAAATAGAGTATTTTTTGTTGAAATAGTGGAGTGTATTGAAATATAAAATTAATAAAATTTGAGTAAAAAGAGGAGATAGTGAAGAGAGAGTATGTTTAGGTTGTATGTTAAAAAACTTTTGGAGATGGTTTTTAGGTGTGTTTAAATATAAAATTAATAAAAGTTGAGTAAAAGTATGAAAAATAAGATATAAAATTGAGTAAAAGGAAGAGAGAGTGTGTGTTTTAATAATTTTATATTCTAAGAACCGCCTAAGAACCGTCTAAGAACCATGGATGGAGATGGCCTAAAGACGCTCGAGTTAGATTGATCTTTACCACCATTCTACAACGACTTTGGTGGTGATTGGCTCAAGTCCCATCATCACCATGTGATCATTTTTTTTATGTGGTTGTTGATACTGTGATACATGCCTCTTTGCATATCATTGTTTATGTGTATATAACTTTGTGTGAGTTTGTTCTAGAAAACCGAATTACATAGAGAAATCAGAGGTTAGCTGAGAGAGATGATCACAAAAGAAAACCTAATGGTCACATGAGAAGATTGGAATTTCAGACATATACAGAAGTCGAATACAAGACCTTGACGTCGTAAGGGTGTGAGAGAGGATCCAAGACGGGCGCGGCCCACTGAATGGTTCCCCACATCTCGCATCCGTTGCGTATTTGCAGGGAAATCTCAGCAGAACAAAGCTCCCACAAACTCTCATGATCTTGAAGCTGCGCAGTCCAGAAGATGACAATGCTCCCCGCAGAATTCAAGGTGAGTTTTGTGATATCATATCTGAGCTTGGTATTGGGATCACGGAGCTCTTTCAAACCCTCGACTTTCTTCCAATTCAATTCATCAGGCTCACACCGCAGTATTCTCCTGTCGGCAACAGGACAGAACAAGAAATCCCCAATGAGACACCAATCGTTCATGTGTCCTGCCTTGGAATCTATTTTCCCGTTTGGAAAAAACATACCTGTAGATGGTGAGTAGGCGAAGATTTGGTCCTCCTCATCCACCCATCTACCACCACTCTTTGTTGGATATTGAGGGGCATTTCAGGCGTAGACACAAACAAGTAGTCCCAAGTGTTGGTCTTTAGATGGAATACCTCTGCCGAGTTTGAGGAGTCAGCCTCGTCCCCAAGCCTTCCAAACATGTATATCTTCCCGTCTACGAGGCTTGCCGAAGCGGAAGCCCGAGCCATCTTCATGGACGGGAGGCGGAGCCATTCGTGCGGGATCGGTTTCAGCCGACGTTGCACGGGTTGGAGGATGAACCACCGTGGGAACATGACTCACGGAAACCCATCAAATATCTCCAGTCGTAGAGCTCTCTTCGAGGCCACAGCCAAGGCCGCCAGGTCAAATCGCGATACCTGAGCCACAAGGAGACGGAGACGTTGAGTGTCTTTGAATATCCTCCTCCTCCTTGGTCTTCTTCAATTCAGAGCATCCACGAATCACACGTGTCTTCGTCTTCGTCCTCTTCAGTTTACAACATCTCCGAATCAGACATCTTCCTTTCATTGATTGATTACAGACACAGATCTTCGTCTTCTTCAGTTTACAGCATCTTCCTTTCATTGATTGAACACCGAAGGGATAAATTTCAAGTTAGGTTTTTTTTACTTTTGTGAGGACTCAGACGATGGAGGAGGAAACCTCTATCTCTTCGACTACGGTGGGCTGTTTTTATGGCTAGACCACGAGGCGGTACTTGCACAATAGCAACTTCTGATGAAGCCATATCGCGTGCGAACTTCTTATTATCGAGAAATGGGTTTGGTGATTACCATGTGTTTCGAGAACAGTTGTGAAGATTTTGCGATATATTGTAAAACAAGTTTGGTGGTTGGCAAAAACTGTGTGTTGGGAAGGAGCGGTCAGGCCAATTCGATCGGTGAGTGCAGCTGCGTGCGTTGCACGCGTCCTTAGTTTTAGTTTTAATGGGTTACCTTGGGCTAGCAATGCTATTCGTCTCATCGGGGACTTAGGAATGAGAAAGGATGCTATTAAGGTGCCAGTAGAGAGCCTCGTGGATCGGGCTAACGCGACTGATACCTCGACAATAGAAGGCTGACCTTTGGTTAACTCTGATTGCGCGATTTGCTTCTTATTCGTGAGTAATGGTTTGTTGTTCTAGGGGGTGAATATTGTTGAACTCTATCTATCTCTTGTGGAACGCATGTCTAAGCAAGTATAATGATGATAACAGAAAGTACTCGTTTGGTTCCAAGATAATTTGTTTAAATGGATAAATATATTTAATGGTAATAGTTATTCTGGATATCTTAAATATTCTTTGTTCCTTTTATTACTCCACTTTAAATCCAAACTTAACATATGCGTAAGCCAATAATAGGCAGCATGATCAATTAGCAGCGTTTGTGACGTGTGTTTCATAACGAAAGGGTTTGATGGTAAAATGGTAGGGTTTGTTTTTGCTTAACCAAGAAGGAAACATGGCTTTTTGTACTTAAACATTTAATACATATAAATATAAATGAAAGCAATACGTTTCTTTAGTATTAATTACATTCAAAATTGAAATTAATAGACACTTTTGCGTGTGTAATTGTAGTTTTTTCTAATTAGTTTTGCAATTTTCTTAGTTTGAAGACTATATTGTAAAAATTGGTAAAGTCCGACTCCGAGGGTAAACGACGTTTTCCCAATCTTTAAATATAAAAAATTGAGAAAAATCACAAACTCATTAAAGCAAAATCAGATCTTCTTCTCTTCTCTCTCGATCGAACAAGAAGAAGATGGGATTACTCTCGAACAAGATCTGCAGAGATGATCTGAAACCAGGAGATCACATCTATTCATGGCGTTCTTACATCTACTCCCATCACGGTTCCATCTCCTTCTCTCTCGATCTTAAGTTCTTGATGGGTTTCTGTTGTTGAAATTACCGAATATCGCAAAATTAGGGTTTTAAATCGATTTCTCTGTTTGGAAAATTCACAGGAATCTATATCGGCGATGGGAAAGTCATTCATTTCACTCGTGGAGATGGTCTAGAGATCGGAACAGGGACTTTCTTAGACAAGATCATCGTTAGCTCAGTTCCGAATCATGGAGGAGACAACAATCCGTGTCTTAACTGTGGAGACCAGACCAATCTCGATGGTGTGATCTGTTCTTGTCTTGAATGCTTTCTCTCCGGAGGAAACCTCTATCTCTTCGAATACAATGTCTCTAAGGCTGCCTTTGTCGCCAAACAACGAGGAGGTACCTGCACAATAGCAACTTCAGATCCTTCTGATGAAGTCATTGCCCGTGCTAAATTCCTCTTATCGAGAAATGGGTTTGGTCATTACGATCTTTTGGAGAACAATTGTGAAGATTTTGCAATCTATTGTAAAACTGGTTTGATTGTCTTATCAATTACAAAGTTGGGATGTAGTGGTCAAGCCAATTTGGTGTCTGCAGCAGGTGGTTTTGTTTCTTCAACACTCAATGCTTTCGGGGTGAAGAAGAGCGGACAAGTAGCTTCGATGGCGTCTCCAGCTTTGATGTTTTCTGCTGCAAGCAATGTTCTTACTACTACACTCGGACTTGTGGTTACTGGTGTTGGTTGTATGGCTTTAGCGGGATATGGTACCTACTGTATTGGTCGTCTGGTTTACGACGTTGGTGTGAGAAGAGATGTTCGCAAGGTCCCTGTGGAAGACCTCGTCGTGCTTATATCAGCCATGAAAGGCAAATTGGACAACGACAACAACAAGACCTGTAAGATTAGTTAGCATTTGTTTTGGATATTGGTTTGGAAATAATTGTTGAGTAAGGGAGATTGTGCTTCTGTTTTGTTTGTATTGTGGAATAATGTGTTTCCAAGAACTATTTGTGAAGTAGAAAATTCAGTTTAATAACATTATCATTGTTTTCAAGAACTGAACTTTTCTGGACTTTTACATAAAGCCGAACTCCACGAAAGATTGTTCGAGAAAGGAAGAAAACTGCAACAGAACAGAAGTGGAAGAAAGATGGTATTTTGATCACTTGCCTACTATCAGTTTGGCTCTGGCGTCTCCTTGATTGATCTGGAATTGGTCTCCAAGTCCTAAATGAGCCATCAATAGCCAAACAAAGCAGATGAGCTCTCCACCTTTGCTTAGCTGAGCTGCGTGTTCTTTAGCGCTACACTTTGTTGCTGCATAAGAAAGCAACTCAACCCACACTTTGCTCTTTACTTCCCACATATATGTGTCTTTGCCGTCCTTCTTTAAGCCCTTAAGCTCCTTTGCAAGCATGCCCCCATCAAACAGCACTGACTTGCTTCTATCACCTTTCACATCGATAGGTTCAGCCTTTGCAGGAGCCATCACAGATAAAATTGCCTCGCTGATTTTCTTTGTATTATCGATCCACCACCGGTCTCTGGTCTGGATTTGCTTCTTTTCGATGAACCTCTCAGCCTCCTCGCACGTATCCCTGAATCTTATCTTTCCAATACCCGCAACAGTTGACATCAGAGTGGGTTGCATCATTAGGAGGTATAGCATGTAGTCTGAAAGGATTTTACTGAACTCACGGCTGCTATGATTCTCTTTAGACTCTGTTTCTGTTTGGTATAAGAGCTCAGTGGCAATATGCCACACAAGAAGGCTTTGATCATAATCCATTTCCATCACATACCGTAGAAGTTTCTCACGCTGTTTCTCCTTTTCGTTGCCACCTTCTATGTCGCGCAGAGTCCACTCACCTCTATCTGAAGATACTCTCAGGGCACTTTCCGAGTCATCAGCAAACCGTGATTTGTTTTTAACCTCTGTGAATAAGAGAATTGATGACTTGGAGGAGATGAAATTACATTGTGTTGATTACTTCACAGAGTTGTTTGGAGGTGCCTCTAGGATGTTGACTAATTCTGATAAAGAAAAGATCACTCTGCTCACTAAGTACAGATGTATCGATGTTGTTAAAAGGGATCTAATGATGGTGGTCACTCCGGAAGATGTTAAACATGAGGTA